CTAGATTGTTTTATTAGCACCAGCGCACTAATTGTGGCCTTATCACCTATTTTCAAAGGTATGGTTTCAGGCAAGCTCGGCAGTTGTGAAAAGGCAATGAAAGGCACATGAGGGAATGGATGACTCAAAATATCATAGACTTCATTACGCGGTAATAATTCCAGATAGGTTCGCATAATTTTTGTCTTTTAGAAAATTCGGCACAGTCCCATTCTACCTCGCATCCTCTTACAACCACACTCGCGCATCACGTCGAATTGAAAATCAAGTTTCCTCGCTTCACGAACCTCGTGCATCGATCGGTTGCGAAGTTCGGCAGAGAAATTACCGGTCCCTTCGAACCGCCGTCGCTTCTCGCGCTGCATCCCTGAACGGGGGTTCAAACGGCTGTGCTATGTGAGCGAGCGATCGAGAGAGGTGGAAGAGCAGTAAGAGTGGAACTGTGTGAAGACGCGAGAAAGGGATGATGCTAGTGTTCTCGGCTACATTCCGTGGATTCATTCCATGCGGATCCGACTCTTTCTGTATCTGCTTATCCATCGCGACACGGCTCTTACCCAATAACCAAGGGGTTGGATCTACACATGCACTCCTTAGGCAACATTTATACATCATGGACAGGTTGACTAACAGATTTTCTGAACAAAAAGAGAAGATGAGTGTTCCTTTGAAAAGGGCCAGTAAGTTCTGACATTCATTGGTTACAAAGAAAGATACGATGGAGGAACAAAGAACGTAAGATATGGAAACTTTCCTTCTCTTAAATTCTCTTCCACCTCTAAAACTCCCAAAAATCTCGAAAACCCAACATCTGTTGCTTCGTGGCGCACATTTTCACGTCATACTCTCCCCCTATATCATGCAGTCCAACTAGTTGCGAACAACGCCGCGGAGGGAATTGTTTATAAAACGGCAAGTCCCTCGCTAGCGACATGCCAAACCAAAGCGCGACCTTGAAAACGGGGCATTTTTGAACGCACTCCACCCGCACGGATGCTATGCAAAGCCACAAAACGAGATGAGTTGAACGTAAGAAATGTCAGAGCGACAACGATTTCTGCATGCAATAATATGAGAAGAAGAACAACCAGCCCATGAAGGAACTACACGCGAATTCCAGTAAGGTTTTACGTTTCAAAAGAGAACAAGAGCTCTTAGTGAATGGATGGAACAAAGTTCACAAAATCCACTTACTGCCTGAGTAGTTTGCATTCGGAACATGCGGCGGGTGCGCCAGCAGAATTTGCCGGCGCATCCCCGTCAGCCGGTCTCCAATTTCCATCTACTCCATTGTGTTGTTGTAGCTGAAATGAACCATCGATAGAATATAAATCGTTTCAAAGAAATTCCAATAAAAAATAGGCTAGGAAGAGGAAGACAGTACTTATCCATTGTTTATTGAAATGTAACCAAGAAAGGATTAATTGCTTTCATTTCTTATGAAACTGATA